AGCGTCTTTGCAGTACGAAGCATAGGCATAGACCCTCAAAGAAGCAAGCGGCTGAGATCCCATCTGTTCACAAGATTAGACTAAGGGCTTTGGGGCTCCTTTATGGTGTAGTTGTAATACGGAACCCTGAGGGATAATATAGGGAACCGTTAAGGCCTATAGTGTGTGTCTCAGGTTTCATGTATGTATATATGTATGTATGTATGTATGTATGTATGTGTGTATGTGCGTATGTAAGTAGACAAGTATTGAACCGCTCCCAAAGCACAGCTGAACCCGGACACCCAGGTCCTAAAACCTTCAATGGATGAGTTAATGTTAGTACCGAAAGCACCCAGATTCAACGGATCCTGTAGCAAAGAAGTGGAAGAGGACATGCGCAGTTCTGGAACATCCTCATCCCAGCCAAAGCAATTTGCGAGTTTCCGAAAATAAGGAGTGCCTTTTTTGGGGGTCCTTATAATAAGGATCCTACTATTCAACGGGTCCCCTATTTTCGGAAACCCCATTTGAGCCTTCAGCCGCTGCTTTGCGTCCTCCGGCAGCAAATTGGGTCGCATAGTCCTGGGCAAGCACCGGAAAATCGGGGAGTTTTACGCTACGATATCGGGCATGGCGCACGCTTTGATGGGACTCCACGCCTGAAGTGTCATGCGGCCGGAGTTCAAGTCTACATATACCTTTTGCGGTTCTTGTTGCTTCTGGTCCGAAGGAACACCGATAAACCTGAAACCTAAACCGTAGACCCCCAAATCAAACCCTTTTGCAGCTGGCTTGCAACGTCACGCCAGGACAGCTGTCGCTTTCCACGCTGCACTCGTGACAACATCAATGCAAAGGTTGTAAGGGACTGGTTTTTGGAAGCAAGGAGCTGACCTGAACCCTAAACCCTAAACCCCCCCAGACCCTAAACCTTAAACCCTAAACCCCAAACCCTCCCAGACCCTAGACCCCGAACCCTAAAGCAAACTCATCATGTCCACACTCGCCAAGCGACCCCGAGAAGAGCCGGAGCCCCAGCAGCCCCTGTGCGTCGAATTTCGCGTCCACAAGGTTTCGGGTTTGGGTTTAGGGTTTAGGGTTTAGGGTTTCGGGTTTGGGAGGGGACTTATGAAGTATATTAGGGCTTTTTTCCTTCCCACATAGCAAGGACGAGCCCGCATTGCAGCGTTAGTTGGCAGAACAGACTGTCGACAACAGGATGCCAGCTCAGCACAGGAACCTATTTCGTTTATATTAGGGCTTAGGGTTTAGGGTTGGGGGGGGGGGACTTATGAAGTAGATTGAATCCTATAGAGTGTTTAATGGTGCTGTTGGCGTCTAGGTACGTGCATGGCTGGCTCTACAAGTTCTTGTGCAAGGGTTCTTGGAAAACCTGAGTAGGCGAAGGGTTGAGGCATGGTCTTTCCGATCATAGGGGACCACAACACGCACAACAGTGACGTGTTGAAACATTTGCACAAGGCAGTGCGCAACTTTTCAGCGGTCGAAATGCAGCTATCGTCTGCCGTGATGGTTGTTTCTTGCCTCAGGGTCCTTCAAATGGCGCAGATCAGGCCATGTTGCACAATGACACTAGTGGCACTGGCGAACATCCAATAAGGGCGCTTAAACGTGCACTAGACCCCGAAGATCCCCGAAGTAAACACACGTGTAAATGTTCCCCTGTCCGCCTGTTGCAATGCATATTCCTGGTGCTGTTTGGCAGCATGGAATTGGACCGCAGCCGCTCGGATGTGCTCAGGTGGGAAGACATCTGCCCACCTTGACAAGCCGTCAACAACTGCACTCAAAAGAACAAAAAATCTCAAGTGCTTCTTTGCCCCTATTCTGTATTCACGCATCCACACACCTTAAACCGGACTTCCGTGCGCCATGCCGAGCGTCTTCCAAAGTTCTTCCTCGATACGTTCCCAGCAGTGAGCCATCACGGGCCTCCGCATTCGCCACACATTTCTACAGGGGCCCTAGGAATTGAACTGGGGCCTTGCAGTACTACTCATACATACCTGCGTACATAAATGCAGACATGCATGCATACATACCGACAAACATGCACCTACGTAAACGGACACATGCGCACATACACATTTGCGCACATACATAAATACCTACCTACTTACCTACCTACCTACCTACCTACCTACCTACCTACCTACCTACATACATACACACATACATAGCCTATATACATACGTATACATACATACATACATACATACTTACTTACATACATACATATCTACGTACATACATACATACATACATACATGCATACATACATACATGCATACATACATACATACATACATACATACAGGGACTCTAAAACGACACTCGTACGAATTATGATATGGAAAGCTTCGCGCAAGATGCGAGTTGGGTAAAGTCCTGTGTTTCGGATTGCCGGTCCCACATGTTTGTCACAATTGAAATCATAGCAAGATTTCTGTGGTAGGCCGCATATATCAACCTGGTTTTCCTCGTGCTTGCTTCTAAGCCCCACATGCTGTTTAGGCTCATGGCTTGACGCAGGCTGACATGAATTTGAAGCGAGATGCTCAAACTTCGCCCGGAGCATAAATAAACTCACAGTCAATTCATCTTGAGAAGTAGCCAGGACTGTGGCATGGAAGCACGGACAGCATGGGCAAACCACACCTGGGGCTGCGCGAAGGAGGAGCGTTTGAAAGGAGGGCTGTCGACGGCCGTGAGCCAATGTAAGCTGCGGAATGATGTCTCATTACATCCAGTACGCTACGTGCTGCTTCACCGACGTGGAGCCCGGAAGCTTCCTTCTGCGGTTGTGCAGGACCGGCTGGAGGTGGACTGCCATGGGTGGCACATTATGGAATCAACAAGCTCAACTGAGATGATCCCGAGAAGTGGGTCGTGTTTCTTTTCAAGGGGCCGGCGCCGTTGGGTAGTGACTGCATGGTTCCACTCCTACCGGGCTGGCAGCAACTACCATGCCATGCCTCCCGCGCTGCCGATATACAGACATAAACACATTCATGGAGCGCATGCTCGCCAAAGGTCAGGGGCCAAGCTCTACAAGTATATTATATACTATATACTCTGTATTATGGACAGCATATTACACATTATGTAGTTCAATGATATACACTATATTTGTGTTGTGTCGATATACTATATTTTATTTTGTGATGGCCAGCTTTTGGAGCCAAATCGGTTCCGCGAGCGCTTTCCGCTCGCCCCAGAGGCAGCGTAGTAGGCACAGCAGCCGCCCTGGCACCTGGGGCAGGTTGTTTAGGGTCAGGGGTTTGGGTTTCAGCACGCACAACTGGGACAAGCCTGGCGAGGTTTTGGTTCAGGGTTTAGGGTCTATAGGGGTTGCTCGTACGGACTGTAATTTTCGTCCTCGCAGTACAAGTTTTCTAGCGGGTGTTTTACTCGCTCGACCAACACGTCATGTCTCTCTTGATTCCTTCAACTCTGGGGTTTTTGCCCACCCGCCCAGCTGGCCAAGTCGCACTGCAGGGAACTTCTCCGAGCTGAAGGCTGCTGACTGAGTTTCCCCCCAAAAGAGCAAAACCCAAGTGTGCAACCATACGTTGATTAGGGTTTAGGATCAGGTTTCGGCTTCGACACGAACAGTGCATGCAGACTAGTGCTTGGTTGTTACGGTCTGCTGCACAACTTTTTTTTCACCGCATGAATTTGTTCACATATATTTTGCCTTATGGTGGAAGCCTCCTAAAATCTCGACTCAGCTTCCTACATACAAAAACAAGTCACCTTGGTTTTGCGCCTGCGAAGTCTTCCAAACTGTTGACACCGCTGTCAACACAATCAAGCCGGGATGAAGAACAAGACCGCAGCGTGATACTGCACACAAGCATTTCTACAGCATGTTTCACCAACTGGATTAAGGGGGAGTGAAGCACAGAATTCAACGTCATGATGTACCGGATCAGCCCATCCTGCAAAAGCACCCCCTTTCACAGTAAACCCTCGACGAATTGGCAGCAGTGTTGGAGAACGGCAAAGCTTCCGGCCCTGAAGGAATCCCCGATGAAGCCCTGCGAGCAATGCTCCGAGACGAACCCAGGTGGAGTCACTGCGATACGTGCTTCAGAGTAGAGAGCTCCACACTGCTCAAATGGAGCTCCTCCTCTAGCTCAAAGCTCGACTACATTGGTCCCGCGAGCACAGACGAAGTGTCGGACTTCCTTTGATACCCATCTGTTTGGTTCAAACTGCAAGGGCAAGGGATTGTGGTCTCCCCACGCAGAGCAGAGCCAGAAAGGACGCCTACCAAACGCGTCCCTCCATGACAGCCCCATACGTCGGTGGCCCCCAGCCACCCAAAACACTGCCGCAACACTGCAAGCAAGCGCAACCTTAACCTAGATCCCAAACCCCGTGGCTCGCGATCCCACTCGCCTCAGAAGCCAGGCAGACGAGAACCTGCGGGAGATGAGGATCTTCGCTCATGCAGCTTACATCCGAAGGAGCAGGAGCCTGAAGCCCTTCCAGGCGCTAAACCCATGACGCCGCACTTCTGACATGTCCGGTCTCTAAGGCCGGAGTCTAAAGCAGAAAGACAGGTCTCGACGCCGCGAGATGTCGGGGCCCTCGGCCTTTTCTCCAGAGCCATGGCAAAAAGAACTGGTACCGAGCGGCTCAGACCATGGTGAAAGTGGATCTCACTGACGCCTTTCCCTAACCCTCACAGGTGGGTGACTCTTGAGGCGATGGCTACGACGTGCTCTAAACTTCGCGCTCGCTGAGCGCGCGCTCTGGGAGGTCCTGGCGGGGTCAGCGAGCCACTCTAAACCTCACAATAAAGACTCCCTTTTAGACAGGCTTGATTGCAGCTCACCCGGCCAGGTCCCCGCAGCACACCGCACTCCTTACAAGACTCCCTAAACCCTACAAATTATATAAACCTCAAAGGCAGGGTCCCTAATGCACTTCTCGCTTCCTCTTCGTTTATGGATGCCACTTCTTCCTCAGCTTCGCTGGGTCCTCGTCAGCTAGGTCATGGGGTCTGCCAGCAGGACGACCCGAAACTTCTCCCAGGGCAAGGCCGTGTTCATGGCCAGGTCCTGGCACGTCCGGGCATAAAGAGAGGGTTTGAGGGTGGAGGTCTGTCAGAGTTTAAGACCAAACATTTAGTGTGTTTAAGGGAAACCCTAGTTTCTTGAAGAGGGGCTGCAGTTCCCTTGTTGAAAATCACATCCTCACAGCTACTACTGTACCCTCAGTCTGATCCTGGAGGGCTACAGGCTGGCTCGCGTCGACGATGTGGTGATTCATTCGGACGGCTCCTCGCAGGTTCTGGGTTCAGGGACGACTGGCTTTGCAATCGAGAATTGAAGCCAATGCTGGGCTTCTGAGGCCCGCATGTTGCAAACTAGGACAAGAAGCGGTGGTGAGCAGGATGCCACAGGGCGATCTCAAGATGGTCCGCATGAAAGGCCATGGGAACAGGGACGAAAGCCTCCCAGCCCCAGCCATGGGGGAGTTCGCTGCTGCCCTGTCGGGGCCGAGATGCCGAAACACATCTTTGCAACTCCAGCAACACACTGCAGAATCTGCAGAAACTCGTCTGTGCATGTCCGAGCAGCGGTCGGCGACGGGGCACTGCAACGAATGTCAAAGTGGGGGTCGTCCATCAGCAGGTACTTGTTGTAGGCGTGGCTGTGCAGCGCAACCATGCCGTTGCCCGCATCCACCACTCTGAAGCGCTCCAACGTCCAAGTATCGGGGAGGCTGGGCCCCGATGGGCTGCTGTCCAAGTCACAGTGGCCTGAGGCATGCTGATACATGCGGAGGAAGCGGCCGTGTGCGTTGCTGTACCTCACTGGGATGATCCCTGAAAAAACTCTGAGCCCGGCTCGGATCATGCCACGAACATGATTTGAAGAAAAAAGCTCAAGAGCACCCAGGCTGCAGGGCCACCAGCGTATCAGGTTCGAGAAAGTTTCTCACCGGCATCATGTAGAAGCGCTCATAAGACCAATGGACAGGCAGTCTTGCGTCCTCCACGGGGGCACTTGGATAGACGTGCCCGTTTTGATCCATGGTGACGAAGCGGCGGTTGACCGGGTGGTAGAGTGCCACCATTCCGTCTCCCGCGTCGACGACACGAAAGCGCTCAAGATTCCACCCAGCTGGGAAGTCGTCGACATCCTTGGCTGTTCTTTGGTGGGGGGTGGCTGTTGGGGTTCAGTGATTCAGTTGCCCGCCTTGATCGAGCTGACCATCATCTCCAACCCTTCCATCTTGACGAAGCGGTTGCTGAGGGTGTTGTGAAGTGCGATTTCCCCGTTACCGACATCGACAACCGCGAAGCGCTCATAGGTCCAGTGAAGCCTCAAAGAGAAAGGCCCGTCACCACCTCTCTGGTCAGCACTGCCAGTCATGTCGGTGATCCCTTTGTTCCTGGCCGTGGTCCAAGATCTTACACCTTCTTCAACTCTTCCTCTATGCCTGCGTGGGACCAAAAATTTATAACACTATACGACCCGGCTGCAGCTTCGGCGCATTTGCAGCCAGCGCCCATGTTTCGGGTTGTAGAAGGCGGCGACTGGCGACGTGAAGTTAGAAGACTTCCTAGGGACAACCTGGCAATGCTGGAGTGCACGCCCCAGGGTTGTCCATGCTGTTGAGCCACTGTCCGCCGTATGTCCATCTTTTTTAAAGGTCTCGCTCGTCTTCCGACTTATCGCGCTTGCGACGGACAAGCGCTCATGATCAACATCTCCCACTCGAAAGTCGCCGATTTGAACGAAGCCATCGCCAAACCCGATGCCTTTTGGTTCGATGGAGTGACGGTTCCAAAGGCTGAAGGGGCCGTCGTCGAAGCCACTGTGATCCTCGACATACCTAACATTGCCATCTTTATAGAAGATCACCGGGGTCCTGCCACCAATGGTTTAGGGCTTATATAGGGTTTAGGGCTTATAGGGTTTAGGGTTTGGGGTCCTGCCACCAATATGAGAGATGGAGAAGTGGTCATCGTCGACTTGGCCCATGCGCCAGTACTTACCGAACTGAATGTAGCGATCGCCGAGAATAACCTCCCCCATCTCCCCGGCGGCCACGTACCTGGGGAGTTCTCTAAACCAGGGTCCCGTTTGTCGTCCTTTATTTAGGGTGCCGTGCTATGCGGGGACCTTTTCCCAGGCTTGAAGGGGACACGAATTTAGAGAACTACCCACCTGGCTTCACGGTGCCAGCTGTGGTCTCCCTGGGTCGGGTCTCCGTGACGGTGGTAATGCCCATCGGAGGTGAAGCTCCTCGGAACCCAGTTTCAGAATGCTTTTCAGGTGAGGCCCCCCTACTTCCCACTGCACAGACTTGCACTTTCCTTGATCTCTACATCCTGCACTCAAGACCCCAAGGCTCATGGGCGTCACCAAATCTCGGTGGGAGATCGAAAACTGTCGCGAGTCAATCGCTGCCAGCCGCCAATCCCCCAACTGTATGAAGCCGTCGCCTGTCGGACTGTGCTGGGTCAAAAAGAGTGCAGGTGGGACTCCTAAAAACCCTTCTCTTGAACTACCAAAACCTACCATTTTTTGGTAGGGGCCCTTAACAGACTATGTACTATAGGGCTTGCATTGTCAGAACTTACCCATTCGAAGACCAGCCCCACCTGCGGTGATGCCAGGGCAAGAGCCGAACATGCCCCTTTTTGGGGTTGAGGGCGTGTAGGGTTTAGGGTTTATAGGGAAGGTTTCGGGTTTGATGGTTTAGGTTTTAGGGTGCAGAGAAATTAAGGCACCCGTGGACGGGGACTTTGCTGCCGGTCCCCCTCTCTTTGTGGTTTAGGATTTATCGGGCTTCCACGCAAGCCATGGCTTTCATGAACCGTCAGAGAACCCGGAGCATCTCTTCTCAACAGCAGCCAAGCTTCTGGATGTTGCCACAGTGCCACTGCGTATGACGATGGACTAGGTGCACATGGCCATTGCCAGAGTGCGATGCATGCGGTTGCGCGCCGAGGACCATCCCGCTGTTTTGGTACACCTTGGTGACCCGGGCGAGTGGTGTCGTGGGCATGCTTGAGGTTGAGGGTTTTGGGAAATTCCAACAAAGCAGCACCGAATGCATAGCCAGATGCTTGGAAAGTTCGTGGGTGTCCAGTGGCCGGGTCCTTGTGAGTGACGAGCAAATCGTCATACTCCCCCACCCCGATGCGGAAGGGTCCGATTTGCAAAAATCTGTCCCCATAGCCCACGCCGGAGATGCCGGCACTTAAGCCTTTCCGGAAACTCTCGTCGCCACCGGCGAGGTGCCTCCAGGCGTTCCAGTCATGGCCCCCGCCGGGCCGATCGATCACCTGTCCGTTGTGGCCCACGAAGAGCCGGTTGGTCCAGCCATTCTGGTGGGAGATGCTCAAGTGGTCGTCGTCCAGTGCGGCCAGGCGGAACTGACCGATCTGGATGAACTTCGCGCCAAAGACGATGCCGTGGGGGAAGCCGAGAGGCCTGCGAGCACAGCAGTGGCCTACAGCGATCAAAACAAGCTCCGACACTTCGACGCTATAATTGGATTACCCTGCTAGGTGGGCTCCTGCGCCAGGCGCGGTCGCTCACGCGTTCCCAGCAGAAGTGGCCATTGCTCTTGTAAATTGCGTTCTGACCATCCTTGTGGGAGATGCTGAAGTGGTCCGCATCGAGAGCGGCAAGGCGCCAGTTGCCGAGCTGGATGAAGCGATCACCCCAGGATGCAAAACTCTCACTGCACTCTCCATGAGCAAGCTCACCGATGTTCTTGCATCCCTGGCCAAACACCTTACGGCTGTTTATAGCATGTATCCTCCCATCGTGGTCGTCGTTATTGAGCGAATGTCCACCGTCCCTCTGGAAGGTTTCAAGAGTGCGCCGCTCCCATGTTCCATCGTCGCGATAGCGCATGAACTGCAAGGGGAGCCTCTGAGAGTCATCAGTCTCCGCAAGTCGGAAGTTGCCAATCTGCACGAACCTGGCCGAAGCCGGAGATGCTTTGCGGACACGACATGCCAAAGCTCTCTGTGGACATGGCAAAAATAGAACTCCACTGTCCACGGAGGGACAGCGCTTAAAGGCCTTCTAACGGCTAGGACCGTGAACCTGGCGAGTCATGGCAACTATATTCACAAGTCTGGGAACTTCTCGCCGATGCTGATGCCCGACGGAGCCCCCAAGAAACGGTCGAGGGTGTTGTGGCCCTAAGTCTGAGGAAATGAAATTCAGCCTTCAGGTCTATATATAGAGCTGACTTGGAGTAGTCTGGTACTGAAACTGACAAGAGTCAGTCTGGCCCTCATCCCATCTGTGGCCATCGTGTTTCCAGAACAGGCAGGTCTTCTTCGAAACGAGATGCCTCCGCTGAGAGGAACGCACAGGCCGCAAAGAAGCTCGGAAACCACTCAAGCCTAATAAAGCCCAAACCCGACTGCTCCTGTCGGTGCCCCATCCTTCGCTTTCGTTTGCAGCGACGCGCGTCTCGGTCCCGTCTTCCCTGGCCTGGTGGCTCCTGGTGGTTTTCACATGCTCCCTCGCCCCTGCGCCAAAGACCGCTCGCGATGTGTTTGTTACGCTCCGCAAGCTGCGATGTCTCGTGCGTGGTAGAGCCACCGCCAGAGGTCGGCGATGCGCTCCTCAAGCTCCAGCCCTTCGACGCCCCTGCACGGTTGGCGTATCTGGCGCTGCCAGTCTGGATGAGGCCAGGGTCTTGGCGACATCGTCAGGTCTCCCCATGAGCCCGCAAAGAATTATCGGCAACCTTCGTTCTGCCGGATGCCTTGGGGCCGTGGATGTACTTGAGACACCAGCCTCATGATGCTAGCCTTTCGTTGGGGTCCTTGGATGGCCAGTCGAATGCGGCACCTGGGTCGACTCGCGAACCCAACTGACATGTACCGCCAAGCTGGCTTTCGGCTGCCTCCGCCTTTGCGCGCAGCCTTACAGTTAGTTTCCTTCCTTACACAGCTTGTAGGCATCGGGCTGTTCAGGGCTAGCATGCAGGAGTCGCGCTTTGAAGGACGGGGCGTGAAGGCAACATGCAGCCAAGGGCACGAAATCGAGAAATGCCACCCTTCATAGTCACCGAGGCGGAACTTTCCAATTTGGATGAACTTGAAGCCAAACTCGATTTCTTTGGCTTCCCCGGGCTGCCTCAACTAAGCGCGTGGCCAGCCCCAGCACTTGCAGAGTAAACCCCACGGAGACCACGGAGCTGAGAGCAAACGGGAACAAGTAGTATAGCATTCGTATTCTTAGTGTTACTGATTGTTGTTATTCTGACTACTAGTATATATTATGATCATTATAAGTATTCGTCTTATTACGTTCAACCCTGAGCTGCGCTCCTGTGATGCCAGATGGACCAGGCATTGGTGACCCGATCATGATCACTCGGAGGGATGTCTCCGAACTCGCTCCGAACGTATGCCCTCTGGTCGGAGACCACGAGCGACACACAACCGTCCTGATCTCGACAGTCCTCAGATGTCCACTTCATGCGAGGCCAGAGCAGAGGGCAGCGCGACCCAAGGCTAAAACGCGGGAATCCCAACCTACTGGGCTACTTGGCAGAGTCCGTGTCCTCATGCGAGATTGAAAGATAGTTGTCATCGATGGCGGCAATGCGAAACTTGCCAATCTGGATAAAGCGATCTCCCACTTGTAGAGGATCGTGGCATGTCACTGCATTCTCAGTCGTTCTCGGCGGGGTTTCTACTTGCTCCGCTGGCACAGCCACAGCGTCCGACTTTGGTGGTCCCTGACCAACCGCTTGACACCCAAGCTCTTCTGCGCAGGGGAGCTGGTCGAAGTTGTCTGGCTTGGACCAGACCACCTCGCAGAAGAGCATCTGAGGCGGTAGCAGCTGAAAGGAAGGGACGTTGAACCGCAGGGAGAAGTCTGGAATCAGGTCCCAAAAGATGTCTGCCACCATCCCCTGCAACTCGGCATCCAAGCCACTAGACAGGCAATGCGTCGTCCCCTGCGTCACCATTGATATCCATGCCTCCACACCCTTTTGCATGGCGTCCTTGAGCTGCTCCTTGATGAAGCCATCGCTCAACAGCTCCCTCAGCACTCTTGGCAGCCCGAAGCCTTCGATTCCAAAATCGGAGTAGACGCTCACGGCCTTTGCTGGAAAGCGCAATGCTATGTAAGCTTATACGGCTCAGCTCTTTCAAAGCCAAGGCGGCAAAAGGTGTGAACGAGCAAGCTGGGCTCCAGGCGGCTGCGCCACATATATCGACCGCATGTCTGCGCCGGCGGCCTCCCTCGTCGTGTATGGTAGTTGGAGGGTACTGGATGCTATGGGCCTGCGCTCTGGCTTCAGCGTTGAGCGTCGGATGGAAAGTCAGTGGAATGCCAGGCATAGGCCAAACCTCGTCTTCTCGCTCAGCAGTCAGCACACAGGACCTCTAGTCTAGACTCGCCCAAACCCGAAGCAGTGCAAACGACGCTTGCAAAACACTGAAGACCTGAGGGGCCTTAAGCCTCAGCTCTTCCAGCCGAGTCGCGACGAGCTTCGGCCCCACACTTAGCTTTAAGGATGCCGCTGCACTCGCCCCCATCCGAATACTGTTCGCCTGTATAGGGCTGTGACTAGAGTTATGTATTATAGGGGGTGTGAGGGTTGGAGTTCGAAGGAGGCTCAGAATTGACATGGTGCGCCTAAGATGTCCGCGCCTGATGCTTGAATTTGCCGGGATTTGACACATGCGCCTCAAAAGCGCCGTCTTCGTTGACCCATCCGTGGGCCTGGACTTCGAATTCCGCATCGTTTCGCATGTGGATTGTTCCGGTGAGGACGCCCTCTCCCACCAAGGTTGCAACCATCTGCAGCGAGATCATGATGCCTGGGACAGCATGAGGGCAGGTTAAGATTGAGCGTTTCAGAACCAAGAGCTGCACTTGTCTGCGAGCGCCACAGTTTGACGCGACCTTCTAAAAACGCTCCAGATTCGACTCATGCCCCTCGCGCTTATGCTCTATAAGGCTAAGCCCCAAGCCTGGTCCGAGGACTGACTGACACGACTTCTTCGCGCGGGGCCCCGAAAAAGCGAACATTGGCTGTCTTAGCCGAGAAGCAGAAAGGTCCGGCACAGATCACCTTTGTTATTGGCTTCTTCGGCAAACCCTTTGTGAGCTTGTAGCTGCAGCTACCCCTCCCGGAGACCACCGTCTCGTAGGATACGAGCAGTGTGCCACTCACATTGAATATGGTGTGTCCGTTGGAAAAGGCTTTCGTTCTCACGTCTGGGGTGAACTTCGAGACTCCATCGATGGCGACGCTAAGACCCGCTTCGCATGACCCCGAGGGCGAGCTCTTTTGCATCGCCTCAGCCGAAGGCTGCTCTTCAAAGCCCTGAAAGACTCTTTAAGGCTCGCAAAGGACTCCACAAGAAAACTCTAGGGCCTAGGGAAGCCAAGTCTCGCCGAGCCCTTGCCTGGAGGTCTGGACTTGACTCACCATGTCTTGGATGCTCTGGATGGCTTCCCGTTCCGTCTCAGTCCCCGGCAAAACCCCGGACCCGGTCTCTCCATCACTGTTTGCAGATGCCTGGATCCCGAAGCCACTCGTAAACTTAGATGTCTTCGTGTATGTACACCTCATGTCCACCCAGTCTGGGTGGCCGTCGGGGTCGAGCTCGACATAACTGCCAGCACCGCAATCACACTCAAGGCCAATGAGAATCTCGCAAAGAGTGGGGACGTTGGTCAGGCAGTCGATGGGGCCTTGCAGCCTGTCCCAGAACGGGCCCAGGTGATTCCCCATTGCCCCGGCCAGTTTGCGTCCTTCAGCGGCGGTCTTCTTCGCATGCTCCAGCGTGACCCCTTTCAGGCGGACCGCTGTTTGTCGCACAGGCTCCGGCAAATTTTGAAGGGGAGCCTCTTGTACGCCCTGTATCACGGTGGTGTTAAAGGTGTCCACAAAGCTGCGGATGTCGCCTGTCAGGTCGTCCCAGCTCAGGGGGGGTGAGGTGACGAATTGAGTCCCGACCACTAGGGCGGCGTTGGCCGTAACTGTCCCGACATCCAAGCCTGCAGTGTTCTTGGGATGTCCAAAGCGTGGCTCGGACGCACAAGAACTCATCAAGACTTCTCTATCACTGTCTGCGTGCGACCTGGCTGCCTGCATTGACAATCATGGTCACGGTGTCCCCAACTTCGCCCACGGCATCCGACACAAAGTCCCCAATGGCGGAGAATGGCCATGAGTCGCGCGAAGAGGCGCCCTCCACTTTCATTGCAGAAGTGTTCAACTCCTGCCATGGTTGGGTCAGTGGCGTAGCAGGGGTAACAGCACAGAAGGACCTTGCAGCAAATCTCCACGCATATTCTGCCCTCGCATGACAATCGCTGGAAGCCGTGCCTGCGTCAGCTTCATTGTAGCGGTGAGGGGCAGCATTGCCCTGACAGTCCAGGTGCGCAGCTTCAGTCGAGTGCTTGGCTGCCGAACACGAAACTCGAGTCTGAGCTCAACGCCAGATGCCCCAGCAGGATCGTGGGCACCACATTTTCTGCATCACAGTATTGCGAGCTAAAAGTTAAACTAAATAACGGCCAGGAGTGGCTGGGCTCTGGCCAGATGGCTAACGGGCACCGCACATTTGCAAGCTGCAAACGCAAGAGCACAGAAGCGGCGCAAAGTCATCCAAATCTTGAAAGCGAGCAGTCCACGCCTTGGCAAACCAGGCTCGTCGCATCTGGCGCACTGAGGCAAGAGCTCCATGCGAGGACTGCGGGATTCGCAGAAAAAAAACTAGGTTCCGAAGCTAAACATCGATAAGCTACCTGGTGTGTCGAAAGGTTCGCCTTGGCTTGAAATGCCACTTCGGGAGAAGCTTGTTCGAGCTTGTGCCAGATCAGCACAGACGCCGATCTTTTTTAACTCTTTGTCATACTGCCTTTGCTTCGCACTGCCGTACATGTAACCGGGCTAAAGCTGTCTTTTGGCGAGCTGCAAACACATGAATTGGCCAGAGTACTCTCTTCCGCACACTTGGCGTCATCTGGATGGCAACGACATCTGAGTGTCTGCGCAAGAACCAAAGATCCTCTTGACGAGATTCCAACATCCAGCTTTGCAAACTGCATGGAAACATTTCACAACACGCTTGCAAGCACGCATGTCAGGTGTACATGTACGAACCGCTGATACTACTGATACGACGACGACGACGCCCGTGACGACGATGACGACGACGACTACTACTACTATACTACTACTACTACTACTACTCCTCCTCCTACTACGACTGCGACTGCGACTGCAACTCGACTACGACGACGATGACTACTACTNNGTAGTAATAAGTAGTAGTAAGTAGTAGTAAGTAGTAGTAAGTAGTAGTAAGTAGTACCAGTACCAGTACCAGTACCAGTACCAGTACCAGTACCAGTACCAGTACCAGTACCAGTCCAGTACCAGTACCAGTACCAGTACCAGTACCAGTACCAGTACCAGTACCAGTACCACTACTACTACTACTACTACTACTACTACTACTCCTGCTGCTGCTTCTACTGCTACTACTTCTCCTACTACTACTACTACTACTACTACTACGACGACGACGACGACGACCACGACGACAACGACTACGACTGCTACTACCACCACTGCTACTTACTACGACGACTACTACCACTACGACGACGACTACTACTGCTACTAAACACATGGTGCGCCACTCCGAGATGAGAAGGACACGGGCTCACTTGGTATGCATGTGCGGTGGTTGGGTTTACCAGGATCGAGTCGCCCAAGGCACCAAGTACACACCGTCAACAATGCTGGCAGAAGCGGAAGTTGTGCGCGAACGTCCCACGGTCCCCGCCAAGTGTCAGGAGATTGGGAGGCCTTTGTAGAGCCAGTCTCCGTCTCCTAGTCCGCTAAGCCACTGTGCCAAGCAACAAGAGAAGTCGAAAGTTCTCGACTCGGCACGGACTGCATCCCCAAAGAAGCGCACTCACAGAAGCGGGCAGAAGCGCACTCACAGAAGCGGGCTGGAAGCAAAAGAAGCCTGAAGCAGAGCTTGCCTCTCCTCTGCTCAGTGCTCTCAAGGCATCTGAAGGCCATCGACGAGGCACTGTAAGCTGCGGTTCGCGCAGCTCATGGAAATAGGCGATTTGATCTTGGAAGCACTGGGCTTCACTCTTATACTGTCTTAATGATGACCAGCAAATCCAGCTTGAGTCTTTGACGGAAGCCCAGCGGACAGTAAGCAATTCCGAATCCCAGAGCCCCCCCCTTCCAAACAATGACACTGTCCGCCAGAGTCACTGACCCCCACCCTGAAGTACTGCATGTTGCGCAGCTCCGCGTGCCCAATTCACAACTCTTGCAGGACGCACATCGTTACAAGATTGTGCGCAGCATTTCTGCAGTATGCAGGTTGCGCACACCGGAAAGTATGCCTCACATCAACATCAGCAGACACAGGAAACAATGACTGCAGTCCCAGCACAAGTCACCGAACTTTCAAGGCCATATTGCTTTTCGATCATCCCTCAGATGCGATAACGGCGAGACTTGCTTTGTCGCTGGCATTGCCAGATCTAGGACCCGCATGTCATGGTGGTGTCGCAGTAGTTGCAAGGATAGCTTTGGCTCTTCATGTTGCAGAGGAAGGCGAAGCAGCCTGCACGGTGGAATAGCGATCCATCCTCGGTCTGCCTCCTTCTTCTCTGCACTTTCGAGTAATGTGTCTGATGCAGAATGTTCGCCCAGAGCTAGCCAGGGTGGGGAATCTGCGCCACGATGACATATTCCAGACGCCAGGGCACCCCGTCACTTGCATTACCCAGCCTGTCGGAAGCTGCAAGCCCCAAGACTGATTCTGCGAGAGGTCGAGTAAGGCCCTTTCTGGAGCGAGTCATCAACACAGCTTCTTCGTCTTCCTGCAAAGGCATTCTGGGATGCTTATGGCCAGGAGCGCAAAAGACACACACATCTTGAGCCAAACCTTCACGAGAACCCTTGGTATAAATGCAGCACAGATTCGTTCAGGAACGGCACTCGAGCCCAGCCAACAATCACATCATCGAAACTGCTTCCAAGGCTGTCGAGGACTTGCAAGAGTTCGTCGCAGAGCATGCCTGGGCGCTTGCTTGTTATTGAGGAAGTTTCTTCTTAAGCTGCCTTGATTAAAAGCAGAAGGTTTACGAGCTTACGATCGGCATATGTATAAATATACATATATTGTATATATGGGTAGACATCTATCTATCTATCCATCTATCTATCTGTTTTTGCTAACCATCTGTCGATCCATCCATCTATCGGTTCATGCATCCATCCATCCATCCATCCATCCATCCCTCCGTCCATCCATCCATCCAGCCAGCCATCCATCCACCCGCCCACCCATCCACCCATCCATCCATCCGTCCGACCTTCCATCCATCCACCCATCCATCCGTCCGTTCATCCATCCATCGGTGCAACGATCGGTAGGATTCATCTATCTATCTCTGTCTCTCCGTCAGCCGTCTATCTACCTGTCTGACTACCTACCTAGCCACCATATCTCTATATATCTCCGTATCTTCCCATCTCTGTGCGTCTCTATCCCTCTTCTCTCCGTCTCTTTTCATCTCTCTGGCTCTATCTCTCCCCCCGTCTCTCTGATATGCCATTCTCAAGGGCGTGAGCAAGGGCACGAAACTGCAGTACGTTATTGACTGTGAATGGTCACTTACACGTAGTTCCTGAATAAGGACCCAGATGCTGACCTGCAGGGCCCCGTCACTGGGGACCTTGCAACGGCTTTCATCGGGTGCGGCCTTGATCGAGAAAATCGCTAGATCGGATTGCCCATACACCAAGTAGCCTGCGCAGGGTTTGGTGTTTCTCTTTAGGGTTTAGAGAACATGTTGACTTCCGTCTCGGCTTACCGGATATCTCTGGCAACCATGTATGCAAGCTACACCTTGTAGGATTGTCATGGTGATGGCAGAATCTCTTTCATGTCCGTTTGCACCGAAAACAAGAATCTGTGTCTGTCTTCCGCCGGCAATCTACCTCCATCATGCCAGCACTCGTCTAAACTCCACACCCCAAACCCCATGCAACCCCCTAACCTCCAGATGCAAAATGTGTACTTTACGCCGCCCAGGGCCTGCAACTGCACCTTAAGCTCCCCTTCTAGTCCTATACGGTTGATTAGGACTTCGGCTTGAATTTCTGCCATTTGCCCCAAACCCTATTCAATTTTGAGACTTGAAATTCTGTTTCATACACCCAAACCCCGTTCACGTACCAACTTAAACACCCCAAATTCCACAACAAAAAACAAACACGATTCTAACCAATGAAGGTTGGGGTCCTGGCCTGGTACATAGGGCATGAAAAACTTGGGGTCAAACTCGTCTTTGATATCCTTAGACTAGGGTCGTGGTGTATATACATTATGTATCATATCTTATAAGAACAAAGTATATTACAAGTATATTCCATTACGTAAGTTATAACTAACTATCTTGTGTTTCAATACAAATATGTTTTATTATAATAGTCTGCTATATTGTGTCATCGTATATCGGACTTAGATTGGGAACCGTTCGAAACAACAATAGAGAAATTGCTCCTGGCTAGTAGGCTTTGTGGCACTCGCACTCGACATGGTCAGGCGAGGTATTATCAACAAAAGCTCCACATCAGTCCCGAGAATCGATGCGCAAACTCCTGCCGGGCATAAAACCTTGACTGATCCCTTCGAGGGCAAACATGCCGAAGGTCTCCAAAAGAAAGCGGCGATCACTCACGTTGTCGCCAACCTCGAAAGGAGGTCAAACGTCGCTTGTGCATCCGGCATAGTGCCAGGGACATGAGTATGCATGCATGTATTTATGCACCTATCTGTCTTTATACCATGTTTATCATGTGTAGTTATGTATGTGTATGTGTGTATACACACATATGTGCATATATATATATATGTACATATATATATATGTACATACTAGGTTTTGGAATGTGTGTATGTAAATAGCTACAGTGTTATTTGTATGCTATGTGCATGTACATATATAACTATCAACTACACTGTACGTGCTGCAAAAAATGCACAGGGAGCCTCTACCACGCCCAGCGTCTCAAGCTTGTCCATGCCAAGGTCTTTCGAGACTGCTGGCCCAATCTCTTCCACCACACGACGGTTCGCTTCGAAGCCACCCGCATTGCCCGAAACCCAATGAAGTATTTGTGGGGACCGCAGCCACTCCATGGACGCCACCTGGCTCCAGCTTTTTGTTGACGGTTCATCGACTCATGAAATAGAAAGGTCCGAATAATCACAAAGTGCCACCGGTTTGCTTGACTCACTCTTCTGACCGACTGATGTCCGTTAATGATGACAGAGAGGTCCGCATACGTACTAATTGTCTGATCTCCTTGCCTGTGCACTATACCTAAATACACCCCCGAACCTTGCTCTGATCAGTAAGGCCGTAGCAGGGTCCCTAATTTACATTCATGCCGGGACGTTGCAATCCCAAGGCAGGCCACGGCAAAAGGCAACTC